CAGGGGTTTATGTGCATTTTTATTTTACCAAGTGTTAGAACTTTTACTCTGCTTTTATGGGCTCTGTGTTAGCTACTTGGTCGTTTTCGTTGTAAAGTGATTAGCAGAGAAAACTCCGTGTGTGTGTGTGTGTGTGTGTGTGTGTGTGTGTGTGTGTGTGGTTTCTTTTGTTGTCAGAGCACTTAGAATTTATTTTATATGGTAATTGTCAGTTTACTTTATTCTCCACCCCACATTTATTGAACAGCAAAGTATGAATGTGTCCCATAACCAGCCTTCAGAAGAATTACGACTGCTGTATATCTGAACTTTCTTTTCTTTTCCTTTTTTTTTTTTTTTTTTTTTTTTTTTTTTTTTTTTTTGCGATGGAGTCTCACTCTGTCACCCAGGCTGGAGTGCAGTGGTGTGATCTTATCACACTGCAACCTCCGCCACCCAGGTTCCAGCAATTCTCCTGCCTCAGTCTCCTGAGTAACTGGGGATTACAGGCACCTGCCACCAGACCCAGCTAATTTTTGCAGTTTTAGTAGAAACGGGTTTCACCGTCTTGGCCAGGCTGGTCTAGAACTCCCGACCTCGTGATCTACCTGCCTCAGCTTCCTAAAGTCCTAGGATTACAGGCGTGAGCCACCATGCCTGGCTGAACTTTCAAGAAGTTCGTGCATCAATTTTTTAAAAAATTATGATATCAAAAGATAGCTGTGTCCTACATTTGGAAAGATAACAAAAACAACATTCTGGCAGGCAGTTTTGCTGACTGGTGCTTGATATAGAGCCACACATTGGTCTCAGTGGACTTATGGAGAAAAATAGATAAAGTTATTTCTAAATAAGACCAAAAAAATCCTTTTCTTAAGCAGTGACAGGTAAAGAGGTTGTCTTGGTTAACCTTGAAATGTGTTACCCTTGATTAAGACAGTTTTATGATGGGGATGGTAGTGGTGATAAACTTGTTTGAAATTTGTCCACTTATAGTAACCTTTGTGGTAGCTGTCACAGACAACTTCATCCTCACAGGCCTTAAAATTACTATAAAACTAATAGAATGGAGGAGAAACAAAGGACCTGAATAATTAGATGCTTAGATAATTGTAATGTGTTTTCATAACCTGTGAAAATGAGCAGGTCAGAAGCACTTAAACATTCTATGTAACGTACACTGCCTGAATTTATATTGTGATTTTTGAGCACCATTTGCTGTTTAAAAACTGGTATATTGTAGGTCATATTTTAAAGACAAATAGAAAACTTACCTTTTCAAGATGGATATAAAGCTTAACCTTATCAAAATTACAGAATGTAAAGTATATGATTGAAAAATATTAATGCATAGGTTTAAATATTGGTCATTTTAGATGTCTTTCAAAATAGATTGTCTGTTAAATATTAAACTGAACAAACTGAACATGTTGTCGAGTTTGTGCTGAAGGTTGTTTCCTGAAGTGGTGGATATTTTATAATATGGATAACAAAACCCTCTTATTTTAAGAAATTTAGAAAATTTTTAGGCAAAACTAGAAAATGTTACCGATAATTCTCCCACTCAGAAGGTACCACTATCAGAATTTTGTATTTTTCCAGTCATCTGCTCATCTCTTTTCTGCTATGCTTGTATATGTTCCTTCTTCCTTGAAAAATCAGATTTTTTTTTGTAATCTGCTTATTCACTCAATAATATTGGAGACCCATGTCATAACTTACTCCTCTACAGTGGCTTCAATTATTGTGTGCTTTCTGTTGGATGACTATACCATCTAGTCAGTCATGTCTCCTAGTAGTAAATACATAGGGGTGTGTGTGTATTTGTGTGTGTGTGTATTTTTGTTTGTTTTTTGTTTTGTTTGTTCGTTTGTTTGAGATGGAGTCTCACTCCGTCGCCGAGGCTGGAGTACAGTGGTGCGATCTCGGCTCTGTGCCAGCTCCACCTTCTGGGTTCACGCCATTCTCCTGCCTCAGCCTCCTGAGTACCTGGGACTACAGGCGCCCTATACCACGCCCAGCTAATTTTTTGTATTTTTAGTGGAGGTGAGGTTTCAGCGTGTTAGCCAGGATGGTCTCAATCTCCTGACCTCGTGATCCACCCGCCTTGGCCTCCCAAAATGCTGGGATTACAGGCGTGAGCCACCGCACCCGGCTGTTATTTTTTTCTACCTTAACTAATGCTTTAGACATCATTAGGTAGAGCTAAATCCTTGAAACCTTTCAAGTGATGGCTTTCAGTTCTCATTACTGAATTGATTTTTAGAGATGGAACAAATTATATTATATGGAAACTTTTTTTTTTTTTTGAGATGAAGTCTCGCTCTTGTCGCTCAGGCTGGAGTGCAATGGCGTGATCTTGGCTCACTGCAACCTCTACCTCCTGGGTTCAAGCAATTCTCCTGCCTCACCCTCCCAAGTAGCTGGGTTTACAGGTGCCCGCCAGCACGCCTGGCTAATTTTTATATTTTTAGTAGAGATGGGGTTTCACCATATTGGCCAGGCTGGTTTCAAACACCTGACCTCTGGTGATCCACCTGCCTTGGCCTCGCAAAGTGCTGAAATTACAGGCGTGAGCCACCACGTCTGGCCTTTTTTTCTTCTCAGTACCAGCTTTTATTTATCAGTTTGGTAAAAATATTAGAAAGTATGCAATAAAAGGCATTCTCACAGTCGTGGCACAAAGTATAATTATGTTTGATTTTCTAGGAAGCAGTTTGGCTTTGTAGAAACTTGCCTAACCTCTCCCCATTTAGGCAAGATGAATTCTGACTACCCCAAGGTAGCCAACCTTGTCCCTGTGATTCCAGATCTCCCAGAAAAAGAGGTCTAGTCTCAGGGAAAACCCAGATTTTCTTGGCTTAGCCCACGTTGACAGCTAATCACTGGAAATGGGGTGGGCTGGTAGAGTCCTTCAGTCAGGTTTTGTGTTAAGAGAGGGAGGTGGAAAGATGGGAGGGAGGTAGCAAAACTGGCCTGAATGGAACTCTGTAAGTTAAAATGGCAAAGGGATGTTTCTTCCAAGGAAGAAATTCTAGGGAACAAAAGAAAGTGGAAGGGAAGGCAGCAGTTCTCAAAGTTTTGGAATCAGGACTCCTTTACACTCTTAAAAATATATTGAGGGCCCAAGGAGCTTTGGTTTATGTAGGTTGTATCTATTGGTATTTATCACTAGAAATTAAATCAGAAATATTTAAACTATTCTTTAAAAGCTCACCACGTATTGTTATAAATGTTTTTATGAAAAAGTTTCTAAACCCAAAGTAGCACAATCTTACATTTTTTGCAAATTTCTTTGATATTTGGTATGTCATTTTCATCTGCATTCAATTTATTGTGTGATATTTGCTTGAAAAAATGTGAACAATGTCCAATCTCATACAGATAGCCATTTTAGATTTTGCGGATATATATATATATATA